AAAAATACTTCGAGCATCCCCACCCTAAAGCCGTTATTGCCCAAGAAATGTAATGTTTCTGGGAGGGCTTGGGGCGAGAACGTTACAGAGTGTGGTGTGACAATGACACTTTAGAAGTTGTTGCAAGTGCGCGTGCAATTTGTTTAAACGCAGGCTGGCAGGGCCACAATTATCTCACAGAAAAACCACAAGGAACAACCCTGGGGTTTAGGGTGTAGGCTATAGTAGGAATACTATTACTGGGTGGGGGGTCCGCCTTTGGCAGGGCTTTCATACTTTGTCACCTGAACATTGATTGGTAATTTGCCAAAGTAGGGGGAACCCCAATATAGACGAAAACTTTATGATCCTTATCATGGGGACCCCCAAAAGGGCACCCCTTATTTCGAGAAACTGCTAGATACACATCCCAGCATGGTTAGCGAAGCGGTCTTCAACTCTTTATCCAAAAGGCCGACGTCAGCCAAAAGTTCACGGTGATTGCCCAGTCCTCTTCTTCAGTTGAGCGACAATGCCTCGTCCCAATAGTTTCGTCGTCTCAGCGCTTGCACCGCACTCGCCCTTGGGTCAGCTTGCTAGAGAGCTTTTGAATTCTGCTCAGTTTCCCTAGTTGTGCCAGGCAGTAGGTGTACTGCAGCCGTCTGCTGCCAGGACGCTGCACATTCGCAAAACTCCGTGTCTGCTGCACCTGCAAGAATCCCCCCCCTTACAGGTTTGTGTAGGGGTATAATATGGGGAATGGAAACGACCATAAGTTGAGAGACAGTGCTTGCTTCTTCGCTTCTCTGTCCTGCCTGGGCTCGGACAAGCCGCCAAGACCACAGCATAGGCAGCGTGACGCATCGGGCACTCAAAACCGCCCATGGCGCCGCCTACGGGCATGGCTCGCCAACCCAAAGGCCACACCCTGAAGGGCCTTCAGCACAATGCCAGAAGACACAAAGCTCAGCTTACCTTCTGTCATACTGTCTATTGTACTACAGTATAATATATTGTTCTACTATAATACAGTGCATTATACTATATCATACTTTAGTATATTATGCTACAGCGCAATGCTGCCTGGCTGAGGAGCCATATCGTACAGCTGGAAGGGAGTGGAAGGCTGGCTGAGCATTGTGCCGTACTACGCTCAACCCTGACATGCTGTGAGCACCTTGCTCAACACCTCGTAGTTGCGTTCACATTCCAGGTACCCTGCAAATTCTAGATTCCAAACGCTCACATTGGCAATTCCCATAATCAAGGTCCATTTTGGTACCCCTAAATGCTAGGTGACGTAATAAAATCTATAACCAAGAGGGGCCCATCATGTTGAGAACAACCCACATGCCAGTTCCGATTCAGCGTTGTTCGGATAGCCTCCAGAAGTTTGCAAGCCTGGTTTGGATACGAGCATCGAACCTCATTGCAAACTCCATCCATTTCAGTACCTAGCCAAAGAGATGTCAGCATGTTGCATGCTGACCTTATTCCTCTAGCAGCACGCATGAAAGTGAAATCCCATATGCGCCCCAGATGATGAGTTGTCACCAGCTCTGGTGATATCCGCTACGGAAGCCTGGTCCATTCTCTTCAGCATCCCTGCCCAACTGAAATCTGTTCGTTCAAGCTCAAACCTTGCCCAAAAGCGATGTACCTACAACAGGCTGGTAGTCCCTTCCCCTCGAAAATGCAGCATATAACGGTATATACCCAAGAGGAACCCGTAGAATCTCCACAGAAAAGGACCTCCAAGCTTTGCAACGGGACACAAGGTATGGGGATTGTAGCATTGCAGTCTTGCAAAGGATCATAGGCCTGCATTTCGAACGAGATAAAGATCATGTTGGGAAACTCCCAGATAATTATGTCTTTAGTAAGCAACCCCTTGACTACTAAACCCAAAACTTGAAATCTCTAAGCCGTGAAGGCTAAACCCCTAACCATCCTAAACCCCAAATACCACACCCCTAACCCCTCAATCCTACATACCAGACCCCTGAACCCTAAACCCTTAGAAAGTGGCCCACTCAGATTCCGAGTCTGCCGACTGAGCACAGATAACGCGGCTTCCCAGGCATAGGACGACGTGCAGGCCTTGGAGGCTCGATTTGGGTTGGGGGCTATATAGGAGTTATACATAATTATACATATATATATATACAGGGATAATGGAAAAGAAAATAGAAACTACTATTTAGGGTTTTGGGTTTAGGGTTCAAGGTTTAGGATTTAAGGTTTAGGGTTTAAGGTTTTGGGTTTAGGTTTAGGGTTTTTTTTTGAACCCCGAGGACCTTTTACGTCTGCACGAAGTGCACGGGGTTTATGACAAGACCCTATTCAGTCTGCACCCCGACATCCTGTCGGCGCTTCCGCACCTCCACAGTCAACTCAAACCCAGAGGACGTTGCCCGATAGGTTTAGGGTTTGCGGTTTAGGGTTTAAGGGGTTTGGGTTCGGGGTTTGGCTTTTTGTTGGTCGCGCCTGTTCTCTGTAGAGCAAGCTCCCGGATGTCTTTTAGACATGGCGTCAGTGGACTAAAGGGATTTATTTGGATTTCCCTGCCCCTGAATTGCCGCCTTAGGTGGTAGCATAGAATCCTCGCCAGGGTAGGGTTTACGGTATAAGGTTTTTGAAGGGATATCGGGGTTGTGAAGGGGCATATAGGGTTTAGGAACAGGCAAGAAAATGGAAGCGCGTTTATCATCATTAAGAGTTTAGGGTTCAGGAGCCTGAATAAGTGATGTGAAAAGGCTTAGCGGGATTGTATGCAATGTCATAAGGCTTACATAGCTGCTATATAGGGATATGTGGGGTGTTTAAACAAGATCACGAGGATCTGAGATTACAGTCCCGAGTAGTGGAGAATCAAGTGTGAAAGAAAACCGGAATTTAATGGAAACCATAGCTTCTAGGGAGCATATAGGGCTTCTAATATTGGAACTATGGAAAATCATGTGGGAAATTATGTAGACAACTGAGATTTGCAGGTATGCGTAGTGATCGAGGATTTAAGGTTTGCTTGCAGGTTGCTAGTAGGAAGTGAGGGAATGGACAAGAAAATGGAAACATATGAGCTAGTCTAAACTCCTAGTATCGCCGTTAATGTCCCATAAAGTAGTCCCCTATAGAATCCCCTGCATATCCCCCCTTTAAGGAATTTGGACTATGGCTCATATGGATCCACTCATCCATGCCCTACTGAAAGAACGAAAACCTAGGTCTCTCTTTAAAATTCCCAACTGTAGAGACCCCCAAAGAGGCAGCCCTCATTTAGGTGGAAAACCCTAAACCTACGGAGTTTTCCAACACTTGGTGTCTCTTCTTGGAGTAGTTCCGAGAATGGGGATTACAGCTTAGGACAGTGAGGATCGGCAAAGGCTCCCTTTTGAACACTAGGATGTGGAGTAGCTGGTATACTAATTAAGGGTTTAGGGTTTAGGGTGGACCCTGCATGATCAACAGCAGTGTTTTTTCGGCGCAAATTACCGAGCTCCAGGCTGATGCTGCCAATGTGAGTGCTATATCATCCGGCGCCTGTATCTGGCGTTGAATTGGGTGGTCTCGAGGAGCCTGGAGACATTGAGGTACTAGTATAATCCCAGGATTCAAGGGGACTCACTTCAGGATTACGTCAGCCTCATACTGTCGAACTGCGATATGATAGTTTTTCCTCTCATAAAAGGACCCCAAGAAACGAAAATACTACAATCCTTATGACAGGGACCCTCGAAAAGGTACCCCTGATTTGGGAAACTCTACCCTAAACCCTAAACCCTAAACCCTAAAGCCTAAACCCCAACATATCCCCTACAAATCCCAGGGAATCTGAAGACACCGGGGAGGCCATGCTGCTGCGGCCTGCGCAGAGCTCTGCATCTCATGGAGCCTTGGGGTTGGGGGTTATATTGGGGTTATATTGGGGTTAGGGTTTAGGGTTTATTAAGGTTTTATGGGGGTTATATTGGGGTTACATTAAGGTTTTATGGGGGGGTTATACTACGGTTTTATGTGGGTTATATTAAGGTTTTTTTGAGGTTTTATGGGGGTTACATTAAGGTTTTATGGGGGTTATACTGAGGTTTTATGGGGGTTATATTAAGGTTTTATGGGGGTCATATTGGGGTTATCTTGGGGTTTTATTGGGACCGTCCATAGTTGAAGAGATGGCCACTCAAAGCTGTGGGAGTTGTAGAAATATTGTAATATTAGGGTTATATTGGGTATATATTGGGATAAGGGAAAATGAAATT